AGTGTCAGATTTATAATGAAATAGTTCACCACAATGCTTGTTTGCCTGTTTGAATAACAGCATTTTCAGCATCATAAATAATAGTGCTGGATCTTGCATTTATTTATTTATTTTCACATCAAATGGTTTGTTTCCTTTTTGTGTGCGTGATCAATGTTGTTCATTGTATGACAGCAGTATGGTACAATGCAATTCTAAAATATAATACTTTACAATCCTGAAAAGCTGTGAGTGCATGGTGTCCATTTAATACAAATGAAGCAATAGGAGGTTCAGCCAATAAAAGCCCTATAATTAAAGAGGACCATATAATACATTTATTTAGCTTTTTTATTGTCTTGGTTTGACAAACTTTCTTAGATTTTATTCCTATTATTAGTTATTCTGGTGTTTGGGAATAATTGTATCCTACTTGTTAACTCACAAATCTTTGAACATTGAACAGTTGAATTGGCACTGTTATTGTATAGATGTTGGCAGTAGTATATACCAATATGGATTCAAATGAGCAATCAAAAGTTTTCAAAATAAGCCATTTGTCCACATTGTCTTTTCAACTGTACTGAAGCTTACAACATATTCATAGTCAATTCTTATATTTCAAAAGACAACATTTTCTAAAAATTACCAGTGTCATGAACAATTTGGTTTGCCTGTCGCGTTGAGTCGACCACATGTGGTTTATAATGCCTGATCAAAATAAACTGCCCAATCAGTAAGAAAACATATTATTAAACAGCAAGCTAATCGGCTAATTGTGTGCTAAGCTAGAATGCTGAGTGGATAGCTTGGAAAACTTGAAATGTTCAATAGTGTTGGTTATACACTACCCTTCCAAAGTGTTTTTTGTTACATTTACATTTAGTCACTTAGCAGACGCTTTTATCCAAAGCGACTTACAAATGAGGACAATAAAAGCAGTCAAAACTAACAAAAGAGCAACAATATATAAGTGCAAATGACAAGTCTCGGTTAGCCTAACGCAGTACACGTAGTTTACGTACAACACGTACTTTTGTTCACCAAAGCTACATTTATTTGATCAAAAAATGCAGAAAAAAAAAACAGTAATATTGTGAAAAATATGTGAAATGTTCAAATAAGTATGTTAAAATGTTACAATAACAAACATTTAAAAATACGTTTTATTTTCAATATATTTTAAAATGTCATTGATTCATGGCAAAGCTGAATTTTCAGCAGCCATTTTTCCATTCTTCAATGTCACATGATCCTTACAGAAACCATTTTAATAGGCTGATTTGCTGCTCAAGAAACACTTCTTTTTATTATTTGTTGAAAACAGTTGTGCCAAAACACTTTTTTAAGGGTTCTTTTAAAAGAACATAGTTTGTGATTTTTTTTTTCTGTATAAATGTAGAAGTCTTTACTGCCATTTTCAATTAATTTAATGCATCCTTGCTAAATGAAAGTATTCATTGTGTTAAAAAACTGACTCCATATACTTTTGAACAGTAGTGTAAACTATAATACACTTATACAACAATTTAAAATGTATTAATGGTCACTTAAATGACATTTTCAAGCATTTTTAGGATATTCTTTCAGAAAGTGTAATTGTTTTCAGGTTCTAGCTGAACTCAATGAATGGTTGGATCGAAATATCAAACTGGTCGATAGTGGACTGGATAATGTCCAGTTACTAATAAATCACAAGTTTAAAATTGGAACAAAAAAAAAGAAAGAAAGAACAAATTCTATGATCCTTTTAAAGAGGAAAAAGGAATCCTAAATTGTAAAAAAAAAAAAAACTATTATAACATTATATAAAACTATTAAAACATGGAGTAGGTCTAGTGAGTTATCAAATATAACAGCTTGCACAATCTTTCTCCTTATACAGATTCTTCCTGCACTCCTCTACTATGGGTCCTTGGACACCCTGTACTCAAACTGCCAATGGCAATGAGGAAGACAAGGAGCTTTCTGACTGATGGATAATTTTAGCAAGTTTTGAGAAACTGCATACGGTAGTATCAGGGTGGCAGATTGCAGGGCATGTTTTTGTGTGTGGGCTCTATTCCAGCAATCACTCAATGGTCCAACAAAGGCCTGAATCATCGTGATAGAGGGCTGATGAAAGTCAGAGGCAGGGCAAGCTTGCTCTAATAAGCCGCTGCTGGTGATTGTTTCCTGCATGTGCCGCTTTGACGGGAAGAGTATGAGGCGAAATAACAGGACTTTATCAGATTTCACACTGTAAAATTACAATTGCGAGCACAGCATCAGCAGAGAACAATGAACAGCAGTGGTGAAAATAAATATTTTATAGTAAGTAGAAGTCTTGATTCTTATGGCTAATGTTTAATTGGGCTCCAGATGTCGGTGCACTTAAGGGAAATTAAGAGAGCTTGAGAGACAGGATGAAGAGCAGCGAGCAGTACACCTTCCTTTCAGATGCCATCCTGACGTGAGGATTGAAAACGTTAGCTTCTGCTTCTTAAAGAAATGCAATGAATAAATAAAACTGAAACAAAAGCACTCGCTGCAGCTCCCAAAGACACTTGATGAGGAGTGAAAGGAGAGGAGTCCATCTGCGAGGGAGATGTGAAAGAACTCTGATGGGCCCCTGGGTGACCAGAGATGCTGTGCGATTGGTTCGTTGAGCGGAAATCTGGATCCCGGCTGTCATGAGTTCTGTAACCACATCAGGAAACATGGCGTTCTCGGGCCTTAAGTAAAGTGAAGTGGAATCTGACAGGTTGTCTTCATTTCTCAAGGTCTGGAGAGTGTATGACTGACAGCACCAAATCCTGCTTCAGGTTAAGAGGCAGAGCCAGTCTATAACACCCATCTAAGAACTCTAACCTAGACAGAGCTGTTAGTAAAAGCAAAGCAGGTCAATATTGTGCAAAGCAGACAGTGGACATACGTATTGCAATTAAAACAAAGCTACTAACCACTTGGCATATCTAACACTTACTCTAATCAATGCCTCCAAAAGCAGATTTTTTCAAGCATTTTGATACCAAAGACTCTAAAATATGCCAACAAGGGACCACCTTCCAAATATAAAATTATTATTACATTATTACAACTGTTGATGTAAAAATGTTTAACTTAATACTAAAATAAAAAAATACCGAAAAAGTACTGAACACTTTTTGTATAAAAAAAAAAAACTCACTATTTAAGGTCACTAACTAATAGGTCACTAACTAATTAGTCAGATGCTGGCTGACTAGTTGAATATCTCAAGCTTTTGTTCTTATCCATACAGTTGTCTGGCTGCCACTGGTTAGCTGTTGCCTTAATAACCAGTTGTCGTACTGTAAAGTCACACTGAATTTATCGTATTTACTATCTATGTGTACTGTAGAGTCTCTCTGACACATTGTTCGACTTTGGTCGTCTCAGTTGAAGTGATCTAGAATGACATTACTCAGAATAAAACGACACATGCTTAGTTCAAAGCCTTCTCTTACAACAAAAAACACTCCAAAGTATCCAGTAGTGAGTTTGAGGGAAACTCATTAAAAAGCTTCTCACTTTAATTCAAAAGAAAGAAAAGTAAATGGATGGATAAAATAGCTTAGAAGAAAGTGAGGAGGTGGAAAGTCACAATGAGAAAGATGAACTTTGTTTACCTGATGGAGTTGAGGATGATGCATGGTCGCATAATTAAAGTATGATTTGCCAGCATGTAAAATATCTGCCTCACACACACATTATAATTTAAATAATCTGACAACCTTGTAAAACACACTTTCACCATTTGCCCTATTGAAGCTAGACATCTTAAACTGTGTGCATAATTCAAGGTTCGGTCGCATAACATCATCCCTGCGGGTTCTGAGGCAGGCGGAAGACAGAATGAGATATCTGCATACAGAGCTAGGTAGTGACAGGTAGACAATGCTGATATGAATAATTGAAAGAAAAAAAAACAAAAAAAGCAAAGCAACATGCCGGAGCAGTTCAAAACAAGCTAAATGTGAATAAATCATCAGTAGGGGAAGAGCGAGAGAGAGAGAGGGATCTTAATTATCTTGTGGCTGTTATAATGTTTAAATGACTAAATCCAAAACCTTGTTCTAGGTGCAAAACTAATTTCTGGTGTGCCTAACTCCCTTCCCTTTATTTAGTGTCTGTGTGTGGGTAGCGGTACAGAAACCCAATAGTAACAGCAGCAGGCAACGGTCCTGTCGAAGTGTTGGAGGGAATATCAAAAATAAAATCGTTTCTGACATCAGTTTGCGAGTCAGTGTCTAAAGCCCACATAGTTCAGTCAAGGACGGTTACAAGTCTGACGGATGAAGGTAGAACATTTTGAAAACTGATTCTTGGGCAAAAACTGAATTTTTCCAAATCGAAGGGTGTTCATTATATGCCTGTACTTTCCACACAGCCTCAATAGCACAAAAAAGCACAGAAAACCGCATGATGGAGAAAAAATGCATATACAACACAAACTACGACACAGAAATTTCCTCAAATACATTTGAATACCTCAAGAAAATAGAACTACTAACATAAAACATTCAGAAACTTAAGCTTAAAACGGAAAACGTCATGAATTGTTAAAATTGTTAAAATTATGATGATATCTATGGAGTTCTTTATTTGCAGTTAGGTTCTAATATAGTTTTGTGCTGCCCCATTCTTCAATATCAGCTTTTTTGTAAAGCTGTTTTATATTATGAAACATTAACTAAACAATATGAGCTGAAATGAGCCACATAAAGTCTGAAGGTCAGACTGAAGTGAAAGCGTCAGCAATTTGTTTCTAACAGTGCACTTGTTTAGAAAGATATGCAGAGCAACAGGTGCTACACATAGCCAGGAAAAATTCAAGGTTAGCTTCTCTTATGTTTTGAAGCAATAGTTTCTGTCCTCCTTATTACTTCACAATGGCTTGGAAGCCCAAGGTTCTAAAAAACAAAAGTGCTGAGACTGCTGACCCTCTAAGAAATGTTGATTATGCTACTGCAGAACAGTATTTATGCAGTGACTACACAGAACCGTTAACATTGACTGACCAGCTCTCTGTGTGCTGAAGGTGATGGCGAGCCTGGTCAGCAGGTCCTCATTCTCGTAACGGTCCTCTTTGGCGATGACCCAAAAACAGTTCTCGGACATCTCCTGGGGTGAGATCTGCGCAGAAACAGAAAACAAAGAAAGAAAAAAAATTAATCATGGCCTGACATCATGACACATCATGGGAGGTCAGGATGCTGGAGTTGCTAGGCAACGTGAGGCATCCAAACAGTGAGGTGGTTTATGAAAAAGTAAAGAGGAAACCTATTCAAATATTCATACTGTGTTCTATCGCTGGTCTTTATTTTGTTCTCCTACATGTCAGTGTGTGTGACATCTGAATGCAGCCCTGGAGAGGCTCATTCTCAGTCGTCTCAGTACATGAATACACAGGGCCGAGATCTCCAGTCACACATCACCACACACGGGCCACACACACACGCGCGCGCGCCTAAAACACCCATGAAGCACTGCACTGAGGGAGCACAAACTGGTGATCATCATTTAGGGGGAAAAAAGCAACGAAAAGAAAAAAATAAAGAAGGAAACAAAAACAAAATAGTGAAAAATTAATGGCAAAAACAAATATTAAAGAAAAGTAGTACAGAAGAAAATAAAAAGAAAGAAGGAAACAAAATGAAATGAAAGAAGTAACAAAAGGAAGGAACGAAGAAAGTAAAGAAACAAAAAAAGAATAAAAGAGGAAACAAAAGATGTAAACTAAAGGAAACAAAAACTAAATTAAAGGGATGCTACATCCAAAAATGAAAATTCTGTCATCATTTACTCTCATGTTGTTACTGTTTCTTTCTTCTGCTTGACACAAAAGAAGATCATTTGAAGAACGTGGATAACCATTGACTTCCATAGTACTTTTTCCCATACTATGGAAGTCAACGGCTACAGTCAACTGTCTGTTACCCAGATTCTTCAAAAAATATATTATTTTATGCTCAACAGAAGAAACTTATAGAGGTTTAGCACGACATAAGGATGAGTAAATGACCATTTTAATTTTTGTTTCATTCATGATAAGACAAAGAAAAGACTACAAACAGTGTCTTAGTGCTGTTCTAAGATCTAATCTGGAAGTTAGCCATGGAAACATTGGGGAGAGCAGAGCATTGTGGAATGATCAGTTTAATGGAGTCTTCTTGTTGAGATAAAGACTGAAAGGGTAATCAATGAGACCGGCTGTGCTAATGAACAGACCTCACACTCCTGCCAAATATCTGAGCCAATAACAGCTCTTCAAATCTGCTCCAGGAGGACATGTACAAAGAAATCAAACGCTCAGTAACTGACTGAACTTAAGCCTGAAGAGTAGCCTCTTAGTGGAAGTGATTAACCCATGTGTCCAACCACGTGTCTGATTAAGCGAACATGTGCTGCTACGTTCTTCCCCTCTGACGGGCACAGGGTGGAATGTTTCCCATGGTGCACCAGTTGTAAGCCTGGGCGATAAAACGGTATTGATATTTATCGACGGTACACCTTCTTCGATAACGATATAAAAAATATTCGATATAGTGCACGATATAGGCACGTGCTATGAGTGACGCAGACAGCACACACAAACACAAACACATGCTGAATTGAGTGCTGTGCCTGCCTGTGATGAGGAGATTGTGAATTAAAAAAATGAATTAGTCGAATTTAAAATAAACATTTGCATTTGAATGTTAGGAGTGTGTCAGGGAGCGTACAGTGGCGCACGAGATGCGGTGATAATGATGTAAGTGACGTTGTTGCATTTTAATATTTTGTTAGTCTAGCCCACGAGACGCGCCGCTCCTGTGTTATGCATTCAAAATATTAGAGAAATATAGAAGCTCAATGCGGAGAAGATCTTGATTAGGTGAAAACCGAAACCAAGCCATTCACACAGAACGCATATTCAGCGCATTTTT